GACGGCAAAGGCCTCCGGGGTGACCCAAGCTCCCTCCAGTTTGCATGTCCACCTGCCCGAGGACGCTGGCAGCAGGCCACAAGCCCATGACAAAGGGGTGGTCACTCCTGACACAGCACCCACATTGGTGGGCTCGGTGCCACTTGCCTGCCGAGCCCCCAGCACCAGGCCTCTGCACCCAGGAGGGCCACACTGAGGAGGGCCACTTGCTGGGGCAGGTTCCTCGCAGCGCCTCCGATGGCTTTCACTGCTGTGATTCCCTGGGCCGTCCTCTCTAACTCTGCAAATGCCTCCCACATACCAACTGCCAAATGCTTCCTCAGGATAGCTGTCTCTTAAAATGTTACCCCACGTAATTCATTTGATGGCAGCACGCCCACAGGGATGGTCCACCCACCCTTTCTCCTAGGGGACACAGGCGCCTGGCCTGCTGGACGTGAGCCCGAGGGGACGAGAGTTGGGAGCGGCTGCAGCAGCCGGGGCCTCTGCATGGAAACCAAGAGTCATTCCCATGCGAGGCCCGTCCTCCTTGCTTTCCACCCGAGAGGAGCCAGCAGAGGCAAGGAGACATATCTGAGACCCATAGTCCTGACGCTGGCTATGTGGCCAAGGGAAAACGGCTTGGCCTCTCTCTGCCTCATTCCCTCACGTGTAGAATGGGAACCATGCCGGCGCCTGTCGTGCAGGTGGATGGGCTGACGACACGAGAGGAAGGTGAACAGCACTAGTGGCCGGCACCCCGCAGGCACTGGGCGGACGTTAGCTGCCGTCCCACTCGGCCTAAGGCGCCGTCCCTGACCTCAGCCCCCCAAGGGCCCGCGGCCCCGCGCTTACCTCTAGCAGCTGCACGGCACCTTCATGCTCCTTCTTAGCTTCAACCTGAGCCTTGCCGGTGATAAAAAGAGAGAAGTGAACATTTAAAGGGGAAAAGAGAATAGGGCTAATGTCTAAGTTATCAGGGGTTGGGCCGTTGACTTTTATTCCCCGAAAAAGCTCCAAATTCTAGGAGTCTAAATCAGTTCTCATTTTTCTACCCCTTTGGGCAAGATGAAGTGGATTTCAGCTGGGTCTGGCTCTGTAGAAATTGGGGCGTGCACCCTGACCTGCAGAGTGCGGGTGGGCTGCCAGGCGCAGCCGTGGGGTCAGTAGGGAGGCCCTGATTCTTTTCCTGAGAACTGGTCACACACACAAGGTGGCTGAACCCAGAATGGCAGGATAACCCTTCCCCAAAGCCTCAGAAAGCACCCCCATTTCCCCAAATGTCCTTAACTGCTCAGAAAACAACACAATCATGCGAACTTGACCCCCAAATAGCTGAAGGTCAGGCCCTGAAGGAGAGGCCGCGATGGGGGTCCTGAGCCTCTAACTGACCCTTAGCAGCTCAGCCGGCAACAGGGGGCCGCCCCCTTCAAATTGTTATACTTGAAGCAAAACCATCTGCTCCAGCGAATAAGAAATTTTACAAGTTTCACTAAAGAAATGTCTCCGGATGGCTGCTGCCCGGGCCACTGGAGAATTCCCACACAGCTGACACACAGCGTTACTGTTCTCGCCCCCCAAGGCCCCGAGGTTCCAGTACAGTGGCCACAGCAAAGGTCTGCTGCATTTGCCCACCCGGCACCTGTGCCCTCTTCTCCTGGGAGGAGGCCCTGAATTTGCCAGGATCCAGCCCTGCCTATACTGAGTACTCTAGTGACTGGTTCACGAGTGGGTGGACAGCGTAAGGAGACCAAAGAGGCCGCCTGGGACTTCTGCGGTAGAGGAAGGCGCCTTGCCCACTGGGCTTGAGCCCGAGAGAACGAGAGTTGGGAGCAGCTGCGGCTGTCTTGCCACAATAAGGGGCAGGGCTGGAGCAGCCGGGGGCCTCCGCACAGAAACCAGAGATGCAGCCAGTGCAGAGCAGAGGCAGGAGAGCAACTGAGGTGCGACGGCACTGGGGGGGACGCGAGATGGAGCTGTGCCTGAGGCTAGCTGGTTTGGGTCCTGGATCAAGCCACATCTGGAGGTAGATGTCCAGCTACATGTAAAACTAAAATTGGTTGTTGAATGAAAGCAAGGACTGTTGAGTGTTTTCTGTCACGTGGAACCAAGAGTCCTGGCGAACACAGCCACCCACCGTGTAAGAACGGGACACTGCCCATTGAGCTCTGGGCATCCTGGGGCTCAGTGAGTGTCTGAGGGTGTGTCCCAAGCTGGGGAGAAAGCCTGCAGCACATCACACGCTAACGCATCCGTCAGGCTGGTGTCGTGGCCCCACAGACATTCCCGATGGAGCAGAGACACCAGTTTCTAAAGAGGGCTGCGTCGTGACTCGATGGGGCCGCTGCCCGAGGCACCGAGCACTCGCAGGAAGCCCCGTCAGACCAAGCTTCACATTCACAATTCTGTCCTGCAGGCCGACCGACCCAGCCACCTGGCAGCCGTGTCTCTACCCGAAGCATCTGCAAAGACTGACTCGTAAAGACACACGCAGCCGATGTTCACTGCAGCATTATTCTCGGTGGCCAAGACGTGGAGACAAGTGTCCTTAGATGGACGATGGGATAAAGAAGACGTGGTACATACAACGGAACAGTACTCGGCCATAGAAAGGGTGAAATACTGACATTTGGGACGACATGGATGGATCCTGAGAGTATCACGCTAAGCGAATAAGTCAGACAGAAAAGGACAAGAACCATAGGATTTCACTCATGTGGGATATAAAACAGAAAGCAACAAACAGACAAACTCATAGATACAGACAACAGCATGGTGGTCGCAAGGGGGAGAGGGAGGATAAAGAAGGTAAAGGGGTCACATATATGGTGACAGAAGGAGACTAGACTTTGGGTGGTGAGGACAATGCAAATACAGAATTGTACACTTGAAACCTATATAATCTTATTAACCAATGTCACCCCAATAAATTTAACTTTTAAAGGAGAATCGCCAGTTCTGGAGGTGCCTGGAGAACAGCCAGTGAGCACTATCCTAACTGCGTCTGCTTCTCACTCGCAAACTTCCGTGGGTGGGAAAACTTGGCTTCCCCAACGCAGAAAAGTGAAAAGTGGCCCGAGATTGCTGCCACGTTCGCTCATCTGCACTCCATTCTCACATAAGCCAATGAGGTTTTTAAGAGCTGGGAAGTGAAGGGGGCACAGCCAATTCATTACATCATTCTGGAACTCAGCTCAATCTTTGAATGCTGAAAACTGTTCCTTTCAAAGCAAAAACAGGAGCGACAATATATGACAAAACAGGGGAAAATGGCAAACCACCAGAGAACATATAGGGGTTATATAAATACCGCCACCACTGAGCCAGCTGAGTCAAAGAGAGTTTTAAAATGGCAGGATGGAAAAAAAACAATGAAAAGCTCCACAGAGGCTGTTAAAACTCAGCCAAGTTGGCAGTGACGACTTAGCTTCCGGCTTCAAGCGACAATCAGGAGTGCGTGTTCATAGCTCCTTACAAGCTGGGCCATTTGGGCAACCAGAATAGATGGTTAAAATTAACATTGAAAACTGGCAGCCCTGAATTCTTACAAAGTCTCAGCAGCAGCTTCAGCGAGGTTCATTTTGGGGGCCACTGCCAGCTTGTGGGGAAGCTGCAGCCTTCACCCAGGCACGGTTTCCCCACAAGCACAGTGAACCGAGAAGGACATGACCTTCAGGCAGGCTCAGAAGGGGCCGGCCACCCAGGGGAGCATGCAGCCAGGCAGTGGGAGCACGCAGCACACACAATATTTTGGGGGGCCCGGACATGCACAGGAGCGACGGTGGATGTCCTGTCGCCTGCTGTGATAGGCGTACACCACTCACAACGGCAGCCACCCAAGCACCGTGTGGTCGGGCTGGGATGGCGGAGGCGGGTGGGCGCTGAGTGGGCACGCCATTCCTGGGAGCTGTGGCTACAGCTCCACGGAGAAGTCGGAGGGCTTCGTGGGACCAGGTGGAGGCCGTCAGGACCGTTCCGCGGAATGAGGAAGCCAGTGAGCACATGCTGTCATCCAACACTGAGGCAGGGCCACACTGAATGGATGCAGTGGGCCCCCTGTGGCCCCCGCCATCTCCGACCGACAGCTACAGGGGAGCACTAAAGTGAGGCCGAGCGCTGGTTAAGGCGGCCAGGCGAGCTCAGCAAGCAACGCCCTTCAGACAGAAAGCAATCTTTTCACATGCGGGAGGGACGTTCAACGACAGCAAATCGGGCAGGTGTGCACATGGATTTTAAATATGGGAAACCCCTGCCCACAGCCCTGGATCATCACGAGACCAGGACGTCGCCTGCACCAGACACTGACACTGCAGCACCCACAGCCGCTGGGCTCTGGGCACCTAGAGGGAAGCACCGGGTGTGGGGGCCAGGCCCCAGGGAGCTGCAGCCCAGGGCTGAAGCTCAGTCGCCTCAGCTGTAATGGCACTGGCACCCCCAGGTTACGCTGAGGGTTGGCCGGTCAGTCCACTTGGGCACTAAGCAGGGAGCGGATGGGCACAGCTCCAAGCCTCTTTATCAGGTGTCTGTCGGGCCACCAAGACCGTCCACTGCAGCAGTGGGGGATGCTCACTGCACTCCCAAGCCTTCATCCCGCCAGTCCTTCCCTCACTGTCTGCCAGGCACTGTCTTAGGAGTAAGGACACTCACTCTGGGGACAGACAAATCAGCACACGGCAGGGGACATCACTCAGTGAGGGGACTGGCAGGGAGGCCGGCTGAGGTTCTGCCCCAGTCTGGGGACCAGACATGCTGGGTGAAGACCTCGAGGGGGCGGAGTGGCTGCAGCACGGTGGGTGACAGGAGACAGGAGGAGGCAGAGGTGGGGGCTGAGAGGAGGTGACAGGTGCGTTCCAGGTCCTGGGCCCAGAACACCTCACTTAGAGTGAACGTCCGGTGTGGCATTAGCGTTGTCATCCTCCACACGGCCTGACTCACTGCTGCGTGACTAGCAGCTGGAACACTGCTGACCTGCAGCGCTCAACAAGTGTTTGTTGAGTGACTGAAAGTGAGGATTCCCAACAGAGCTCTGGGCTCCCCAGTCTCCTGGAAGCAAGCAGGTGTCCTCAGGGAAGCCAGGTGGCCGGTCCAGCAGGTGGGGCCGGGTTCTGCCTGGGTGCCTCTTATTTATTTACACAGGCTTTCACGGAGATCAGGGTTGGCTGGCTGGTCTTATGGCGCCTTCCCACGAGGCCAGCCTGCGGCTCTCTGATCGATCATTCATTCACTCGCTCGCTTCCAGCATGCGCTTCTCCCGCCTGCTGAATGGGGCCGAGGGCGCTGGGTCCCTGACACAGACCTGAAGGCCTGCACTCATGCAGGGCACCCTGGGGGGAAGGGGGAGGCTGACACCCCACGAGACTGGCCTGTACGTACTGCCTTGCTCCTGGGCAGTGGCCACCAGGTCGGGAAGAGCACGGCCTGATCTCCCACCCCACACCCCCCACAGGCTGTCAGCAGCGTCTGCCCTGCCCTGCGGTGTTCGTGGAAAAGAAAGCACCCCGTCCACTGCATTCTCCTCGTCAAGTGGAGACACAGGGACGCTCAGTGACCTAGAGACACGCCAGTGTCTTTCCTCCACCTGTGATTTGGAGCCTTTCCTCCCTCTTCTGAAACCTCCCCGCTGAGCAGACTCGAAAGAGGCCGTGCGTTTGGGCGCTGGCAGACTCTCCAGATGTGGACAGTCCTGGGCTTTCGTCGCGTCGAAAAAAAAGCAGCTGGACCCGACGGACTCCTGTGGGGATCTCTTGCTTGTAGTCATGGCTGTCAGTGATTTTTTTAACTTCTTCGTTCAAGTTCCGGAACAGAGCCATGCACAAGTCCCAGGTGTCCGTCTCAATGCGCCTGTGACTGGATTCAGGTCCATGTGGGATGGAGTCAGCGTGTGGCCGCGGCTGTACTTCCAGCCAGGTCTACACCACACTGGGGGGCTCGCGGGCCCTTCCTACAACCCACCCAGGAGCAAACCTGATTCCGCTTCCTCCTGACTCTTCCTGAGAGGGGTCCACCTCCTTCCACCTGCACGGTCACCAGCCCAGTCAAGGCACCAGGCTTCCCGGCCACGGTGTCAGCCAGCCTCCCTGCCCCTCCGCAAACCAACACCAAAAGCACCCAATGCGGATTTTGAAAGCTGTGACTCAGACCCGTACACCCTGCTCAACCCTCTAAGGGTCCCCTTTCCCTTGGAACAACATTGAGCACCTTCCAACAGGGTCCGGCCCCCGCGGCCTGTGGACGCACCCCCGCCTGCTCTGCGCTGCCCACGTCCCGGCCACGGCCTCCTCTTCTTGGGCACTGGAGCCGCTTGCTCCATGGATGTGAGCTGGCAGGACCGTGTCTGTCTCTCATCTAACCCGCAGCCCATCTGCACGCATGACTCCTTTCATCTATCGTCTCTCCCTTCTGCTTGCTTCCTTCTGAGCATTTTCATGACCTGAATTTAGTTCATTTGTCTCCCCCCTGCTCACTTATTCTCACTCTGTGGGAGGGCAGGAGCCACGCCCTGGGGTCCCGGTTTCCAGAACGGCGGCTGAGCAGCAACAGTTAGTGAATGAATGAAGGAAGGAAGGAATGCTGCCGTCAGCCACTGCGGCACGATGTCTGTCCCTGGCGGGAAGCGAATGGAAAAGCAACTCTGGAAAGAATTCACCGACCTCACTCCGCTCAAGGTCCCACCTTCCTCTTATAACACTTGTTTTAAAAGTCAGAGCTCTGAGAAGCGACAATGTTGGAACATTTGTATTGCGTCAATTTCTCTTCCTCTGCTCCCCCCCACTGATGAAGCATCTGTGTGTCCAAAAGAGAGACAATGATGAAAGTGGAGGAAAAAGGAGCAAAGGAAATTGGATGGCACCCCGACGAGAACACGGGTGCTGAGGAGTGGGGTGGCTCCCATGTTCTTTCTGGGCACCAAAGGCTCAGCTAGCAGCGCTCCAGGCCCTGCTGAGACCAACCGCCCGACGCCTGGCTGCACAGCATCTGTTTCCACAGGCTTATCACCTGTCTCAGACACACAGCCTGGGGACATGGCTGCCGGGGCTGCAGCGGGTGGGCACAGGAGTATAGAGCCATGTCCAGTCACCGGAAGGTCCCCGAGCACAGCGGGAAGACAGCAGAGTCCTTGCTGATAACATCTAATGAAATACTGCTGCTCAGGGCACCAGCCACCTTGTTATGATAGGTAATCAGGGCTGTGACAGTCCCCATCAGCGCCAGCATAATGAAATCTATCCTTAATGCGAGGTCTCGATCAATGATTAGAGAAACGGTGTCTGAAGTCACCCACCTGATGCACCCAGCTCTGCTAATAAACGCTGGTGATGAAAGCCACCAACAGTCCTCTTGCCAGCAGGGCTAGCAGTCATCCTACACCTTTTGCTCTGAGACCTGGGGGGGGGGTCTGTCGGATGGGGGAGTCACCTGCTGCGCCCCCCATCTGCTTCCATCCCTCAGTCCTCTGCCCGCCCCACTGTGACAGGCTCTGGCTGCAAGGGCCGCTGCCCTGGGGGAGAAGGGGGCAACACCAGGCTTCTGGGAGAAAGTGAGATGAGACCGACACGCAGGGGCCCCCAAGCCCGACAGCTCCAAACACACATCTGAGAGACAGGAGGACCACAGCTTCTAAAGATGGGGCAGCGGGAGCGACGTCTCAGCCCCAGTCCCCCCAGCACAGGCGCCCTGGGCACACGCTGCAGACTGCTCAGGCCCTCTGCCTCCCCCGCTTCCCCCCCCCCCGGTGTTTCTTCTGCCCTCTTCCTCTCCTCTCTTACTTTTTTCTTTCTTCTTTTTGTTCTCTCCCCACCTCTGTTAAGGAGATCATCCTATAAATATTACCCTGACAATTGATTTGCTCCCTGTAACACACCCTGTGATTTCCCGAGGTAACAGGTAAACTGTTCCTTTTAATGATGTCACACTGGTCCGCGGTGTGAATGTACCACGACTGATGCAACCGTGCCCTTGGATGGGCACTGAATTTAATCCAGTTCCCCATCCCCCACCCCACACAACAGTGCTGCCAAAAAGTCAAAATCCTTTGAAACTGTGTTTCTTACAGGCATATTCCCAGGGTGGAAAGTTGCAGGGTACAACTGTGTGTGTGTGTGTGTGTGTGTGTGTGTGTGTTTAGTTTTCACTGTCACTGTCAGGTCCCCCAAAGCTAAAGCAAGTCACACCAGCAGCCGTCCCCAGGAGCACCCCTTCCCTGCCGTCTGCCGGCAATGAGTGTTAGAGCATCCATTTGCTTTTGCAGCATAAACATGAACACGAGTCAGCTTGGGAGAAACGAGAAAGCACGGGGAAGCACAGAGCGCTCCGAGCCTTTGCAGCAGGGACAGGGCACCCTGGGGCCTGGGACACAAGCCTCGGGGGAGCAGCCAGCCCGCACCCACAGCCGAGCGCCCCTGCTCACCCCTCTGCCCCCACCGAGCACCCAGGCAGCGTGGCCCCTTACCTTCTGCAGAAGGTCGATCTCTTGCTGTTTCGCGTTGAGAACAGCCAGGGCTTGCTCATGCTCCAATTCCAGCTGCTGCCGCCGTTCAGCGGCCTCTCGCATGTGCTGTGGGGGACAGGGCGAGGTCAGGCAGCCGTGCAGGGAGCTGTGTCTGCGTGTCGTGCCCTGCAAGCTCCCCGCTCTGCCTCACGGTCCCTCTCTGCTTCCCCGGGCTCTTCCTGAGGGTGGCAGGGCGAACTGGGGAAGACCCTGGCACTAACAAGGCCCCCACCTCCTGTTCTTATTGTTATATTTTAAATGCAATGAGCATCTGAGCAGAACTAGAGGTTCCCGTGCAAAGGTGAATTGCTCTTTTTCCTCCTTTTAAAAAACTCTGTCTCTCTTCGCTCCATTTTGTCCCTGGTCCTGTGTAAACAGCAGCCCAGGTTTATTGATCTTTCCCTATGTAGTGGGTTGTTCCAAACTTTTGAGTGCTATTTAAGTCATATAATCCTCATAATAGTCGTAGGACGTAGGTACTCTCACGAGCCCCATTCTACAGAGGGGGAAACTGAGGCACAGAGGAGGTTTCCTTGCTCGTCACCCAGCTGGTAAGTGGCCGTGCGAGGTCAAATCTGGAGCTCTGGATGGAGCCTCTGAATGTCAGTTTTGACCCCGTGTGCTCGTGTCACGCTAATGGACCAGAGCCCTCAGCGCCTGCCGTCCCTGTCCCTCCACACAGGCCTCTGTGGGCCTACGGCCAGGTCTATTTGCTGGGCAGATGGGGGGGGGGTGTCCCCTGCTGTGCTTTCCTCATGACAGCCGTCTGTCCTCCTTGACAGGGTAGAGTTCAACCCTGAGTTTAATTAACAATTAAATAACCAATGTTAATTATTAATTGACACCTGCTTCATAGAAATGTTTTGAATATTGCGAGTTAGAATAGTACCTGGCATCTACTGAGTGCTGTGCTACCTTTTACTCTGAATATAAGATGACCCCTTCCCAATGACCTTGTGCAGTGTCACGTAATACAGTGTCACATAATACAGCGTCATGTCATTCAGTGTCATGTCATACAGGCCCACGTAATGCAGGGCCGTGTGACAGTCTCATGCAATGCAGCTCTAGTATTAAACCCAGGTGCACAGAAAGTACGCGATGACCAGGGACTCTCCCACAAAGACAGTGAGTGACTAGGACAATGGCACTGGTAAGACGACGGCAGCGCAGAAGGTGTGCTACCCCTTCGAGCCGCCTTCCACGTGCCGGGCACTCCTTGTCTCATGCTGAGCCGCTGCTGGGCTCACTGTTCGTATCAGATGGCAGCTGAGCGGCTGGCTTCCGGCCACCAGCGCCAGGCAGGAGCCTGGAAGCCATCCCGGCGTGGCCAACGTGAAAGCCAGTGCGCACCTGACTGCTGACCCCTCCTGCCTGTGGCCCCTCGCCCACTGCATGTCACCATTAAACACGATGAGGGCGGGGCGGGCCAGCACCCACGGGCCCCCAGCAGCCCTCCTGGCCTGGGCGAACAACTGAGAAGCTGTCTGGGTGCTTTGTGGCAGCCCGTTCTCATGCGCCTGTTCATGGTGGAAGGGGCATTGCCAAGTGCAGGCTGTATGATCCTTATTTGGCTCCAGAAGGAAGTTAGCAGTGGCGGGAGGAGACGGTCTTCCTTACGGGGGCCCGTTAGAAACACTGAGTGAACACGCAGTCACTCCAGGCCTGCAGCTGCCGGCTGTGGGGTGACTGAGGGCAGGGGTGACACACCTCTGCGAGCTTCCTGCTTAGAGATGAAAGAGGCAGGTCGGCTCATGGAGTAGACGAATGGAGACAAATAGAAACAGCGTTTACATCTCACAGGCTAATGAACCAAGTCAACACGAAGTAGTTGTCAGAAAAGCATAAATGTGTGAAAACAAATGACCTCGGGGGACAGTGTTCCAGGCTGATGCTGAGGGTGCCACTGCGGGAAGCGAGGGGGGGGGGACAAGACTCCCGGGAGGGGGGGCTTCTTCCCTCCACACAGCTGCTCACAGGGTGTCTGCACTCCCCATTGCGTCTTCACACCCCACTCCCACTCCCACCACGCGGCCTGTTTCAGTGACTCCCTCCCACCGGCAGCAGAAATCCTCCTGCCAAGATGACCAATCAGCTCCCTCTGTCCACGCCAAGGGCTACTCCCTGCCCGGGGGGACCCAGTCTCTCAGAGGCACGTGACACGAGGGTCCCCTCCTTCGTGAATTCTTCCCACTCCTGCCCAATCCGCAGACACCGAGTGGCCACACTGCCCTGTGAGGCCACGGCCCCTCACAGCCTCCACAAGCCTCTGTGATTCTGGCGCTCCCTGGCGCACGAGGGGCCCCGGCTCTCAGAGAGGAAAGCCCTGCCTTGCGCCCCAACACCAACTGCCCCCACATGCCTAACACGAGACTCCACTTCCTTTTACAAACATCTTCCCCGGTCCAGGGACACCTGCCTCGCTCCATGGGGACACTTCACATCTGAACAGCGCAGGATTACGCAGCCCAGGAAACCCGCCCGCTAAAAGGCTCTGCCTGGGGCAGGATTTATTCTTAAAGCGGTGCTATTTAGAGCAGGGTGTCGCCATTAACGTGAGCGCTTAAGTAGCCCACAAATGTCACGAAGCCGAAGCCGCTTCCCTGGGAAAGCTTGGGTGTGACCCTGAGCAAACTGAATCATCTCAACATCAGATCAGAGGGGGATGGGAGCGTCTTCCACGTGGCCCCTGCCTGCCTGGGCAAAGGCAGTAGTCACGAGGAGAGTGCCGTCTCCCCCTCCAGGGCTTGCGTCCTGTCCTCAAAGAAAGACTGCTGTCTCTGTTCCGTCAGACAAACGGAGCCACCTATGGGTCCTGAGCAAGTTCCTCAGTCCACACGGTCAGGGGGCACCCCAAGGGGCGCTTCCTTTTCATAGGAGCTGTAAGACGCTGAGGCCTACAGTGCCCCGGCACCGGCAACAGGAAACTTCCGGCTCCTCTGCAGGATGCTGGAGTAGAGAAGCTGGAGGAAAAATGAAAAATGGCTCACTCCCGTTGGTCACCAGGGGAGACCCTTGTGCCAAGACGGTGGAGAACGCTGGGCGGAGAGGGGCGGACACGTCCTTGTCCCACAGTCACCCGCCAGGGCCCCGTGCATGTGGGAATCACATCCTCTCCAGCGGTCTTGTCCTCCTGGAGGCTCAGTCTTTGCCAGAAAGACAATACACTTGATATGTGGCTGCCTGTTTGCAGAGCCCCTGCGGCCCCAGAAGCCATCCTTCCAGACAAGCGTCCTGGACCAGGTTTTCCACTGCTCGTGGCTGGTTCTCCCTGATGGCAGCACGTGTCTGCAGGGACGGGCCACTCGGCAATTGCCAGCCTCTCCCTCACTCGTTCACGCCGCAGTCACGCCCGCTTGCAGTCTGTGATTTGCTCGTGCCCGCACTCGCTAGCTCATCCACTCAGTCAATCCATCGCTGTTACTCGGGGCCTGCCAAGTGCCAGACTGCGTCCTCGGCACCAAAACACACAGTCTCTCCTGCAGATGTGACGTCTTGGAAGGGGAAAATAATACACAAGTAAACAACTAAAACGAGCAAGTAGGTTTTTTTTGAAGAAAGTGGAAGAGGCAGTGCGACAGAGACTGGCAGGAAGCTGGCTCCTTCTGGGAACATGGTCAGGACAGGTGGTGACAGGACACTGGACCCTAACTGACCAGGAGCCAGAAATACAGACGGAGGGAGACAGCATTCCCGGTGGAAACAGCTACGTGCAAAGGCCCTGGGGTGGAAACAGGGGCGGTGTGTTCCGGAGAGACAGGGAAGGCCCGTGCAGCTGGGCCCGGAGTGCAGGGGGCGTGGCAGGGGTCAAAGCTGAAGAGCCGGCGGAGGCCAGAGTGCAGCGTCCTGTGGTGGGGAGGTTAGATTCAATCTCTGCAGTCAAAGGTGGGCGCAGGCAGCACAGGAACAGCATGCAGCTTCTGTTTCACCCAGGAGGCTATGGCTGCTGCGTGCAGATGGGCTCTGGGGGACCGTGAGCCTTATGCAGGGCGTACCTGGGGGCCTCACGCTCTCGGCTACTGATGCAGGAGGCTTAGAAGTGACGAGCTCACTGGGCAGACTTCCTAACCCCTGTCTGTCACTCACCCTTTCAGCCCTCACACATTTACCCTGTGGCTTCTCTATGCCAGGTGGGCGCTGGGGACACACTGACAAGCAGAAAGGACATGGAAGCTGCCTACACTGCTCAGTCTCCTGGACGGTGACCAGGACAAAGCAACCCAGATAGAGCAGGTGCACAGGCCCATAAGAAGGGCTGACAGGAGGCCAGCGTGGCACAGCGGGGAGGAGGCCTGGCCTTGCGACCTTGGTCACCTGGCCCCCGTTCTGCAGCTCTGGCCGCCCCAGTGGCCGCCCCAGCCCTCTGCCTCAGATCTTGGACCTCGCTGCCCCCTCTGCTGGGGCAGTTTCTGCGCGGCTCCATCCCTCCCTCTCTCCCTCCACCCATGTCCCCGCCAAATGGCACACTGCCGGCGAGGACTTCCCCAACCAGAGAATAAGGGAGCGGTTCTGTGTCATCACACCTCATCCTTCTGTGCAGTCATTAATTTATTTAACTGCCAGAGTCAGGGACATAGTGTCAGGTCACTCTTCGCCCAGGGGGCGTCTAGCACATATCAGGTGCTCAGTATGTGCCGAACGAGTGAAAGTGTTCTTAGGTGTGGGCTCATCGGGGGTTTCATCTGGGTGATTATCGGCCTCGGAGGGTCTCAGGAGCCAGGGTCTGAGGCATCTGAGGCCTGTTACCTCTTAAAATCAGCACAGATGGTCTCAGTTTTCTGGCCATTCAAGTACAAAGTTGCCTGGCAGCCCCCAAATGCAGCGAAGAAGGCCTCTGGAAAGAACCGTGAGTCATGGACTCGTGCTTTACGGAACCAATGACAGGCCGTTAGAGAAAAGTCACACTGTCGTCAGCTAAGCTGAACCATCAGTCTGAAAAGAGGCGGAACACGAGTGATGTGTGGGACCTAAAACACCAACGTGTGAACATGGCCGCTGGACTGACTGCCGGTTCAGGCAGACACGGATGCACGTGGCACGGCTCCCCAGCTGTGAGGACACCACGT